TTCAATGTCCACACAGCAAATAGGGTAGAAATGCTGGTTAACATAAAACCACAAGTCGAACACTTCCCAAGCGTTTAAGACTGTGTGATATACCTTCGAATGATGTGAGCAGATCCAAGTAAGGTGGCCTTTTGCAACTGACAGATAGTAATTTTGTCAATATTTATGGCTTGTAGGTGCTGACTAAGATCTTTTGGCACAGCCCCCAGTGCGCCAATAATCACTGGGACCACCTGTACTGGTTTATGCCAGAGACGTTGCAGTTCAATTTTTAGGTCCTGATATCGGCTAAGTTTTTCTTGTTGTTTTTCGTCAATTCTACTGTCACCCGGTATGGCGACATCTATAATCCACACTTTCTTCTTCTCCACAATCGTGAAGTCTGGCGTATTATGTTCCAGAACTTTATCAGTCTGGATCCGGAAGTCCCATAGTATTTTGACACATTCATTTTCAACTACTTTTTCGGGATTATGTTTCCACCAATTTTTCCCTGTAGGTATATGATAATTGTGGCACAAGTTCCAATGGATCATTTTAGCCACAGAATTATGTCTCTGTTTATATTCTGTTTGTGCAATTTTTTTGCAGCAGCTGAGAATATGATCAATAGTTTCATCAGCTTCTTTACATAATCTGCATGTTGGATCATCAGCAGATTTTTCAATTCTTGCCTTAATTGCATTTGTTCTGATTGCTTGTTCCTGGGCTGCAAAAATCAGGCCTTCTGTCTCCTTCTTCAATGCTCCATTGGTAAGCCATAACCAGGTTCTTTCTTTATCCACCTTTCCTTCAATTTTGTCCAGGAACTGTCCATGTAACGCCTTATTACGCCAGCTATCAGCTCTAGCTTGTAATGTAGTTTTCTTATACTGATTCTTTGTCTGCTGTGNAGAGAGGTCAAGTATTTAAGCCAAAATCCATGCAACTGATCATTGCCAGGTGAAGTCCAATTCCTAACTTTGTAGTTTGGTAGTAAGTGAGTGTTTACATAATCTAGTGTTTTTCCTACTGCCTTTGACATGTTGATTTTTGGTATTAATATTATTATTATTATTATTAAGAATGTCACAATATTGTTAATTCACTTACTGCTGTTTCAATTGTGCATGATCTTGTATATTGAATGGCATTCTAACCCAATCCTTTAATAACTTATCCCTTATAGCTACTGAAACACTTCTAATAGCTCGACTTACTGACTTCTGGCTAATATTTAGAGTAAAATCTTGGCCTATTCCTAACTGATAGGAACCACAGGCAAAAAAATCTTACAGCTGCTAAAACCTAATGAACAGTAATAAAATACATGATAAAACAGAATCAAACTTACTTATAAATGCTAGCAATAATTCATTCAGAATAAAAAATACTATTACACAATACTCTTAATATAAATTTAAAGATTACATTAAGATTTTAATTCTAAAAGATTTAATTTTTTTACTAAAATTAACAATGTTTACAATTTATAGTGACACGCAATGTATGCAGTTTTTACTCATGTTATTATTACTAGAGGAAGATATTTAAATACGTATATTGTAATATCATTTAAACTTAATAACTGAATATTTAGCACATTCATATATCTGTATTAACTCTAGTTTGAACACTTAATGCCGATCTTCTAGTCTGTTCTTTCAGTGTCGGTCGAAGTGTATTTATTAAATTTGATGCCACTTCTTTGGAAAGCCTAAATAATCTAAAAAGTTCTTCGTGAAGATCAAAGGCACGTGGTCCAAAAATTCGTTGCCTTCTCAAACAACGTCTTTCGGCTCTTTCTAACTCTTCGATAGCGATAAGAATTGCGTATCTGTCAGCCATTTTTGCTTTCGTGTAGCGATCTCGCATGCTCGACTCAACGTGAGTAGCAACTCGCATGGTGAGATGGGAAAGCACGTGAGTTAGAACTCGAGACTACCAATTTGACGTCAGAGTGCGAGATGATACCACGTGACACGTTCAACACGTTGGGAGTTGTAACACGAAAAACTCGAGACTAAGGCCCCAGGTGTGTAGTCTCCAACGGCACCACTTTTAAACAAATTCTTAATCTTTTAAAAAGATAATTTACTAAAATCAACATTAACTATATTCGAAATTTGAATCTCCATCGACTTACGTGATGAGACATTCGAAATGTTAAAAAATCAATTTTCGAACATCATTCGACTTTAGAATTCGTTAAATTGAAGATGGGAAACAGCTAAGGGAAATCATCAGAAGGAAAGGAAAGAAACGAAGCATCGAGTCAATTACAAGCTAAAGAAAGAAATAACCAACAAGAGGATAAAGTTGTCATAGAAATTAATTTCAAAACGAAAAGGAAAGTACATGTTTCGTTTACTTTAAAGGACGATGAGGATGATGATAGATGTAGAAAGTCGAAAAAAATAAAAATGTAAAAGCAGAGCTAAAAATTCTTATGACAACAAAAGGCTCTTTTCAGAGCCAGTTTATCATCTAAAGAGGAGTCAGATCGTAACAAATATTAATCAACAGTCATATTATTAGTAGAATTATTATTATAAAATGAATGTATTTATACCACAGAATGACATTGCTGCTGCTAGAACGCCTTTCCCATGGGGGGAGAGTAATCCTCGACTCTGTTCCCCACGGGGGAATAAATTTCCCTCCTCCGTGGGAGGGAAATTCCTCCACGGAAAGGGGAAAACATTCCCCATTGATATGAATTTATTACTTATACCATGGAATGACTAGAACACCCACTAGGAGGAGGCCCGGGCTACTAGTTGTCATAGAAACTGCTGTATGCAATATCCAATATATGAAGGCACTCCATCTTGTATGAAAGCGGTTGACTCAAAGCATTGTCGCTGTTTCAGTTGGGTTATGGCAGTGGTGCACCCAGAGAGAGCCAAGGAATCTGACAACCTCCAAAGATAAACACTAGAAACTTTTCCAAAAATATTTTCTTAATTAAAATTTATTTTTCATTTATATTGTGTCATGTCTTCTATTTCTATACTACAATACTTATGAACTAGTCGTCGCATAATGTAAACTCAATAAAATTTCCGCCCTAAAATTTTTTTATCACTTCAATTCTGTTCTACCAAAATTAAATACCGGATGTATCACTGGGTTATGATAAAAGTGTTGAGAATATCTTGTATTTATGGTTTGTAATAAAGCACACTACAGACCAATTGGAACTAGCTTCTTTAAATAATAATAGTCCAAAGATAATTATGGTTATGAATCCACACCTGACTAACTTTGGGCAATGGCATTTGCTAGAAAACATGAGATTTTGTGTGGCCCAAATGCAACAGTGAATACTATTTTTCATGGAAGATTCTCCATCCCTGGCCCCAACATATCCACTTCCACACTCGCAAAGGTCTGTCGGGTTTTCCTTTTAGAGCCGCCGCAAACTACAGGATGCGAAAGCTAGCGTACGCTCGCTCGCGCTCCTAAGCCCCGCCTTTTTTCCCATGATGCTTTGAGCCATTTTTGCTAGGTAAGCTACGCGAGCACGAAGCAGCCGCAAACTACACAACGTTTGCTCGCGTAACGTAGTCCACATGACGTGGATTCCACAGATGTAGATTGGCTATAGAACAAGATTTTATTATAACCTATACTTGTAATCAGTCAGTTTTCGTTCCGAACTTTGAAACAGCATGGAAAAAACATGTTTACTAGTTAAGCCTAACTAGGCTTAACTAGCCGAAAACTATTTATACTGTATATTACTATTTACATACAACGGTTATACTATTTTCTTTTCAATACTGAATGTATTAATCATGTAATTTACGTACATCGATAAAATTCTATAATTTCTTTTTCGATATGTGACATGTTTATGTTGTCATCCATTTTTCCCGTCCTCTTTTGCTAGCGTAAATACTCTAGTTGTTGAAATATCTGAACAGCGAGCGTACTCTCGTATCGCTGCGCTAGCGAAGGAAAAACAGCGTGGGCAAGAAGACATGGGCGGAGCCTTCGACGTCATCGGTTGTCTAGCGCACGTTTGCTAGCGTGTTTGCTCTCGCAAAGCCCTAGTTTGCGGCGGCTCTTAGAAACAAGAAGCAACGACTTGTGGCTGATCTTATGCAGATAACAATGCATCAACCAGTACCTTCCACATTACGCCACAGGATGCACCCAACTGCCATAACACTGTGCATGCAACATTATCCACAAATTGTTCAACATCTATGTATCTTCAATGACTTGTTTGCACCGTGACTGAGTTGAACTTCCAGATGTCAGTTTCTTTGAATGAAGTGATCATTCTCTTGAGAGCCTTATAGACAATGGTCCTCGACATCAATTCTTATGACTGCAAAGTTCCAAAGTGCACCCATAAACAAATAGCATTGTTGTTTTCATAAAACTGCTTTACAAGAAATGCATGTTCCGGTAAGGTGATGGTCCTAGTAGCTGATAAGAATACACTCAATACTTGTAAATCACTTTTATATCCAGAACTTGGTTGACATATACGCTTATGCAAAGGAAACTTTTTCATTGCTTGCAGTACCAAAAGGCAATACAGTAGAGCCTCGAAAACTCGGCCTAATGTGGACCGAAGGGTGGCCGAGTTTGTGAAAATGCCGGGTTATCGGGAATGGGGTTAAAAAAAATAAGTATGAGTGTTTCCTCAGAAAATACTGTACTGTACTTGTATGTATTGTTTACTTGAGAATACAACAGAGAATAAACTGCCCAAATACCCTTAAACAAAGGAAAAGTAGCCTACGTCTTTTATGAAGGCATAGAGCCTTTATTACATGAAAATGAAAATTAATGAATACACTGTGTACAGTAATTTACCTGATAAGACAGACCTCAGAAAAATACTTTATGAGGCATAAAGCTGTCTTTATCATGAAAATTAATTAACTAAGGATTTTTTTTTGCCCTGCCAGGGTGTGGCCGAGTTGTCCGGAGTGCCGGGTTATCGAGTGCCGAGTTTTCGAGGCTCTACTGTAATAGTTCATTTTTTATACTAATTTTAATTTTGTGAAAATGTCTTTTGCATATCCTGAAAAGTCCCATACTAGATTCGGTTCATTTGTATTTCTAAATCTCTCTCTAGACAGTATTGATTAAGGATACTTTAATTACAATAATTTGAAATATAAACACCATAACATAAAAGTTGGTTTACATACATAGTACAGTCCATAAGTTTTAAGACTTTATTTTTATTTCCAGAACAGTATTCTCATCACAACACTACTGTAGTTGTGATGAGAACTCTACTTATGTATGTTGGCCATGCAAGTATGTCTGTTCATCTGAAGAGTCTCATTAGCGTATTTTCAGAAACTTACAAGTTATAACACACTTCAAACTGTTTCTATTGCTGTCATAGATTCAAAAAGTGAATTTGAGAATTACAATTAAATTTTTATTTAAAGGCGGCCTATACTTCACTCAAAAGCCTTAAATTATTTTCCAGAAAGTTTTTTTACTAACATTTTCGATCTCCAATTGAATTAAAATACAATAAAGTATAAAACTAAAATAAATAACCCTACTGGCTACAAAGACACCGTGTTTTTTACAGCATATCAAATCTTAGCTGAAAAAGTGTGTAAGGTGTGTTTAGTACTGTACCTTCATATACAGTACTAAGGTGTGTTATAGTCTAAGTTCCACCTTAGACTATAACACACTTAAAACTAGTATAAAAAGTATATGGTAATGAGTCTCTAAACTGATCTAACATCTTCAGGTGGTATTCGTAGTTTCATGATAAAAGAAAGTCAATAGATGATAAGAAAACTGATGTCCTACATTGACTTGAACTAAAGAAAATGCTGCTGACATCTCTGAGTTGCAAAGAATAATCATTAAAGAATATCACAAATGACAGCTAAAATTTGAACATCCCCAAAATCTGTTTGTCACATTTTAAGAGAACATTTGAGGAAGATGTGTGCTCATTACGTTGCGCATGCCTTGACAGCTAAGCAAAGAAGCTGGGTCATGTCTTGTCATCATTGTAAGGGCAAATGGACAGAGTTTCTTTAACCAAATCATTATAGAAGGTGAGGCTTATGATTCCAAAACCAAGTAACAGTTCTTAATAGATTAGTGGAACATCTCCAAGAAAGAAAATTGAAATTATACATACGAATAACAACTCATATAGACTTTCCATAAAATTAGAACAAGCTAGCAATTCAAGAGCACGCTTTTTAGGTCTCAATATCAGTATTATAAGCAGTTGTCCATACCAATATTTATTATAAACCATCTCACCTTCCATTCTTTATACCTGCGAACTCATACGACCCATATATCTACAAAATAGCTGCCTTTCGTGCCTTAACCAAACGTGCTTTTACCCAAGGCACGAATTACGAAGACACGTTAAAAGAGCTTAAAGGCCTTGAGGACATAGCTAAATTGTATGGTTACAAAAACATCTTATTCGTAAATTAGCGAACGCCTATTCCAACAGGGGTGCTCCCACACTCAATAACTTTGTATCGCGAAGTGGGAACGCTCACAACAGAGATAGCCTCCAACCATTTTTTTTTTTTTTACATTTAGTGGAGCACTACCTCTGACCTGTAGCATTAAATGCTACTGGCTTGATGTACTCCTCTTTTAATTAACTCTGCTTCGCATATGCTTTGCAGGTAGTTATGATTACATAGTCGCGGTCGTACCGGCAATACATTAATACCCGACAATTCTATTTTTTACATTAATTATATTTTTGTTGAGTAAAGTATTTAATGTCATTAGTTTGACAATGAACTATGAGAAAAATTTTTATGTTCTGTTTTTATAACAAGTTTTAATAAATACATTGAAATAATAATATATGTTAACATTATTTATAAGGCTACTTTCCCTAATAGGCCAATTGTAACCTTTTTTATTACAAAGTAATTTTAACTCGTTTCTTACTTTTTCATATTGCATACAGTCAAATAAGATGTGTGTGGGTGTTTCACTTACCCCACAAATCCCGCAGTTTTCATCATCTCGATGATTAAATCTATAATGATATTTCGCAAAATTTCCATGTCCTGTCACGAATCTTGTGAATTTGTGTCCAATTTGTAGATGTTTATTCAACCTCTGGTTAATATCTGGTATGTATTCAAAGAGTTCCCTTCCTTTTGTAGTTATTTCCCGCCGTTGTTGCCACTGTAATATGTATCTATTTTTGATTTTAGTTTTAATGTCTTTTGTAGATATTTCTCTGTATGATTCCTTTGTTTTTAGATAACTAGCCTCTTTAGCCAGACTGTCCGCTCTTTCATTTCCTTGGTCTCCAATATGGGCTTTGACCCAGCTGAACACAAGCATATTATCACTCTTCAAAATATTTCGTCTTACGTGGTATCTATTAGTTCACTTTTATTGTTACCATCATTAAAAGCTTTTAATACAGCATGGCTGTCTGTGCAAATAGTGCAATTTTTTTTTTCTTCGACTTATCCAGTTAATTGCGTGATCTATTGCTACCAATTCTGCTTGATAATTTGTGCATCTTTTATCTAACTTGACTTTTTTATGATACTGCTCCCACTTGATTTTTTTATGATATTTCTATAGTAATCAACATACGACGCTCCTTCCGAGGATCTCAATCCGTCTGTATAGATTCTGTATTTATCCCGATAGTTTATTTCTTTATATATATATTTTCTCCCATTCATATCTTAATAATTTTTGGTGTTGTTTCATATCTGCTTCTAGCTCGTCCTCTTTTTTCAATAAATCATTATGAGTTTTGTTTTCTTTTAATATATTTCTTGTGTCACTATGCTGTCGAATTTCCAAATCCAGAGGCATTAGGCCCGCCAGTACACAGAGTGCATCGTGGGATGTAGTACAGTATGCTCCAGTAATTCTTAATAGCATTTTTCTTTGTAGGCTATTTATTTTCTGTTTCATGTGTGTCAACTCCATCCTCTTCCCCCAAATTTGGGCAGCATATGTAACAATTGGGATTACAGCACCTTTATAAATATGTGTTAAAGCCCTTCCACCTATACTCCATTCTTTACGTGCTACTTTCGCTATTTCTTGAAATAAGTTACCCACTTTTTTCTTAATTGTTTCTAGGTGTTCATTCCAGAAAAGTTTGTTGTCTATTGTTACTCCTAAATAGTTGACTTGGTTTACACATTTAATCGATTTATTTTGCATTTTAATTGTGGGTTGCCTTTTTGCCACTTTGCATGTTGTAAAGGCTATGGCGTTTGTCTTCTCTGGATTAAATTTAAGTTTGTTTGCATTTCCCCATTTCTCTATTTTATCCAGTATATTTTTGCATTTTATTTCTATTTGTTTTCTGCTTTTTGCCGAACAGATGACCATTATATCGTCAGCAAAAGCTGTTATTTTTGATTCTGATAATGTGTTGATTTTCAAGAGATCATTTAATATAATTGACCAAAAAATGGGTCCAGAACAGGATCCCTGTGGACACCCCATAGTCATGTCCCTTTCCATTTTTATGTCTGCGTATTCTATGTATGCCTTTCTGTTTGTTAGATAATCACATATAAGACGATACAAATTGTTTGGGCAATTTGC